CCACACTAGAGTCCCTCTTCGGGCTGACTGCTGCTAGACGCTGGAGCCGCACGCGTGCTTGGCTAATAACAGTAACCACCACTCTCTATCCGCCACTTGTCTCCTTCAGCGGTCAACTGTCAAGGGACCCAGCCCTTATTGAGCCCTGGCTGCAGTAATGTCCACGGCAGGGAAAACCCAGTCTCTTGACTCTTCCTGCGCCTTCCAAAAAGACGGTCCGGGACGGGTTTGAGACCAGGTCACGTCAGGTCCCCAGAACAAGACAATTCCATGCCTATTTGCCAAAAACCAGCCTTAGCCAATAATCTACTGTCCAGTAAGAATTTTGACAAAATGTTAAATTATATGATGAAAGAATGATTATGTACATATACACCATATATGGGGTGAAACTTTTGAACATGAACAAAAGATAAAGTTATAAGTAGAAAAAAGAAAGTAAGAAATGGACGAGAGTGGGGCAAAATCAAAGGAGCAGAGATCACGGCAACCGAGAAATCCGGCTAACTGGCAAGTGCAGAGAGTGAGTAGGGGGGTCGTAGGCACCCAGCAGGCAAACCCAATTATTGTTTCCCACGCTGCACGACATCAATAATGTTGTCGGCTCTCTTCCAGTATTTTACTACTGCTACTTCGCTTACATTGTACATGACATGCTTTCTCTCTCTCTCTTTCCACCCATCTTTGACGGTTGTTTAAGCCAACTCCTCCCCTGACAGAAGCTTAAGTTAATCTCTCATCTCTATAATTAATTGGCAAAATTTGGTTAATGGTTGCAAATGGTCATCCTGATTCATTCACATTGGCAAACGAACCACTCAAGTCAAGGGGCTGTAAACGTAAGCAGAAGCATGCTGTCTAAGTCTAAACAAATCCCAAGAAGTGACACTTTCTTCCTCATCGTGGCCCGCCTCCTGGCCTCAAAACGAAGGAACAATTGGTGAAAGAAAAACCATTAAGAATGCAAGACTGTAATTCCATTATCTACTTCAGCATTTTATAATTAAGTGTTTGTTAAACAGTTGTAATAAATAACTTGGAATATTTCGATGGAATTACAGAATTGTCCCTCCTAAAAGGCTAAAACTAATTGCAAAAGGCTAACAGCCTGACATGGATTGGAACAGACAAAGGAAAGCCGAGCCAAGCTTTGAGCGGCTATGAACATCGTACATAAACATAAGGCACCGCCTTATAAGCTGTTTGGTGTTGTAGCACAGTAGCAGTGAAAAAGCCATTATTTATTTATTCAGGTTTCTCAATTCCTCTTGCCTTTGCTTATCCCTTCCCACCCCAATCCTACATTAACAAAAGCCTCAGATGTTGTCTCTTGTATAACTCCCAAAACATCTCTCTCCTTTTCATTCTCTCTCAAAAATCTTCTCTTTTTCTCTCTTTTGTCTCTTTCTCTGTTAAAAGAAAAGAACCATTATTTCCCACACACAGACACCTCGACTGTAACAAAAATGCCTGCTGATTCCGGCGACAGGCGTCCGGTTCGAGTCCCAGGAACCATGGGTTCGCACCCACCACCCAAGCTGACTGAGCCACTTCCATGCCCGAGGTGTGACTCGACCAGCACCAAGTTCTGCTACTACAACAACTACAACCTCTCTCAGCCTCGCTACTTCTGCAAGTCATGCCGCCGTTACTGGACTCAAGGTGGAACTCTTCGAAACGTTCCTGTTGGTGGTGGGACCCGCAAGGCCTCCAAGCGCTCTCGATGTTCTTCCGGGTCTTCTCCTTCCGTTGCAACTTCTTCTTCGTCATCGAGCGTTACGCATGAGGCTGAGTCTATGCCTATGGCTGCTGCCAACCCTGTCTCGGTTATGCCTGGACCTGGAGTTAAACCTGAAATGGGTTTGGCTGACGTGAATTTGAATGAGAGTGTGGATCTTCCTGTGAATGGAAGCTTCACTTCATTCTTGAGCTCTCAGGGAGAAGGGTACTTATCACTTGGTGGATACGGGTTTGGAGCTGGTTCAGGGTTTGATGGGGTCTGGGGATATCCTGGAAATGGTTATCTTGGTGGTTTTAGTGGTGGGGGCAGTGGTGGACCTGGTGGTGTTATAGGCGGAACTACTGGGTGCAATCAATGGCAAACAACGAGCGATGTTGAAGGTGGCGGAGGGTTAGCTGATGGGGATTGCTTTGGTTGGCCAGGTCTTGCAATTTCTGCACCAGGGAAAGGTTTGAAGTGAAAAGGATTCTGCCATTTCGAGAAAAAAAGGTTTCGTCTTTTACTGTTTTATGGATTTTTGCCTCTTGGGTAGTGTCTGGGGAGTTTGCTGGTTAGTGGTGTTGTCCGTTTTATTTTTTTTAAGTTCCTAGTTGTCTTTTCCTTTGGTGGGTATAGAGAGAAAAGATTATAGTAGAATAGAAGATGACTGTTGATCAATGTGTCATCTCTTGGGTAGTGGGTTTCCATGTTCTTAGAGTTTTGTTTTTTGAATGACTCTGTAAATCTCTGGTGTCTTGAATACTTTTGCACTGGGAAAGAAATGAATGAAAAACGACAGTTTTTGCAGCTCAAGTTCTACACTGCTGAAAAATCCGAATGCTAGCATTTATTTTTTTCTCTGTTTTCCTGTCTTTGGAAATGGTGATTTCCCATTGCAAGCAGAACACTCTGAGTGACACGTATGTTATTGGAGTTTCGATTTTCGAAGAATGTCTGCAGGCTTCAGTTACCAACTACTCAACCAATAGTTATAATCACTCAAAAGAGGATGTTTGGTTTCGAATGGCATATGAGCTGATCTAGCAAAAACTTTCCAAGCTATCTTCTTTGGCTCCATTAGAGCTTCTACCCCACGAGCTTCCTTCTCAAATTAATCAGCAGTGCCGATTCTGCCACTCTCAATAAAAATCAATCTGGTTTGAGTATTTGACTCCTCTTTCCATGCCTCCAATTCCAAATATGGTAGATTAATCAAAGAATGGTATAAAATTTGAGCCTGCAAATCACGAATTCAACAGAAGGACAAGAAGGCAGCAGGTGGACCAGGAATGCCATGGAATGTAGAATGCTACCTAGAGAGAAAAAATATGTTCACCTCTTGGTCTAGTTTTGACAAAAAAAAATTGATTGCTGCCTCTGAGTGACATCCTACCAACCAAGGGACCGTTTCAGAAGCATCTTGTTCATATCTTGCCATTAGTGGAAATGCTATTGCTTTCATGTCCCCACATGGGTTTATTGCACGTTTTTAAGTTGAACAATCGCCTTCTCCCCCTTTGACAGCTTTTCAGTAGGCAAAAAATTCCCCTCGGCAAAACTCATCTTCTTTTGGAAGGAGGAATTTCAAACTTGAAAAACATTACCATGATCCCATGCCTAAGCCATAATCATACCTGCAACCTAATCATAATATCGTATGATGATGCTTCGTACTGTAAGCTGTAAATTGACCAGAGTTTTAAGATTTAAGAAAGCCAGTATGCTTTTGCATGTGAGAACAAATGGGACGGTCCTCTGACTAGCACAGTTGTTTCAGTGCTATTGGATTCGAAATAACACCAAGAGAATGGACCATGTTTCCTGGTTCTTTTTTTTTTTCTTTTGACTTGATGGGGAAGAGATGACAGATCATTAGGTCGGTGGTTAATAATTTGAAATACACATTACACAGGGGTTCTTATCATCCTATTTTAAATTACTATCTTATGTTGCCAAATTCCATACCTTTTTTAACCTATACAATGATGATAACGAAGCAGGAGGGGGAGGGGGAGGTCAATTATGCCTTGAATCATTTTCCCTTCGTGCCTTTCCTTTAGGGATAGTGGCAGGTTCCATATCAATGCAGCAGCCAGATTGAAATGCATTTAATATGTACACACTTTGCATTCTTGAAATGGGAAAGATGCAACTTTGTCAGGTGGATCCATCATTCCCATCATCTTTGTGGGGATTGATGTTAGCCCCACCATGCATAACTACATAAGACACATTCATGACTTTTTCAGTACTATGTAGACTATGATGTTTAATAATAAAAATAAATTATAAAAAAAAAAGTGCATGAAGGTGGAGACCTGCCTCTCCAGGAACCATTCATTTCCATTGCCGCTCAACCTACTTTCAAAAAATAAGAAAGTTGTTTATGGCTGAAATCAGAATCTAAAATGCAACCCACTTTTGATAATCTTTAGACAGAAAACTGAAGATTTTAGAATGTTCCAGCCTTCCGGGTTGTCGTCCATTGGTGAGGGCAAACCCATCTCTTTTAACCAGAAGGGGCTTCAAATTTGTTCCCTTTATTGGCGATTTCTTTTCTTTTTCTTTCTTTCTTTATGTTAGGTATGCTTCCCTGCAGAAAGGACAGTGACAGTGAAACCTTAGTTACTATGTCTGCATGCGCATTCGAACATGTTGTCCCCGTAATTGACGGGTTCATTAACCTTATCAAAATGATAGTTTCCCCTACCATGATGGTTCTACAGTGTTTTGATTACAATCAATTTGCTTCATAATGATGTCAACATGATAATTACATTCCATTTCATTACCACCAATTTGCTTGACAAGAAAGGTTTCAGCACTTTGGTTTCGTACAATCA